TGTGGAATGTTCTGCATGTTCAATGTCACATTTATCTTCAATGTCGAAAGCACGTAGGTGCTGAATGTCCTATTTAACTTCAATGTCGAAAGCATGATATACATGAATATTGGCGGTGATATGACGCCATACCCACCCACTCATAACGTCGAATCTCATAACGTCAAATCTCATAACGTCAATTCGACGTTATGCGTGGCAATATGAATATGGACGTGACCCCTAATACGAAGTACTGGAACAGTACGCCTAGTCACAGAATAGGAAGGTATACCCATTGAACTAAAAATAACTGGAACGATACCTCCAGCCGGAAATGTGAAGCCATGCCCAGGCATACCCACTGTTGTCATGCCCAGTCTTTTCACGTAACAGAAATGAACGCGGGTTTTTTAAATTTCCAAAACGGGTAAAAAAAATGCACTAAAACATGATTTAAAACGACGTAAAATGCACCTACCAGTACATTTTTTACAATAAAAACATCCTTCAAAACTCTAGAGTAAAATATTTTCAATTTATTTGTGTAGAATTCATAATTAAATTTCCTTTTTTGAAAAAAAAAACGTTGAGCAAGGAGTGGAGCTTGCCGTGGTCTAATCATTAGGTACTTGTGTGAATTTCCCTATTTTGCTTATTCGTTTTCCAATTTATTCGTCTGAAAGTTAGGAAAAAAGGTATTCTAACAAGATTAAACTACCAACCACAGTTTAATTATGTTTTGTAGTAGAGTATTTATTAAGTTTTAAAGGTACAGTACAAAATAACAAATATAAACATTAAAGACATTAATTAAGAAAGTTTTTTTCGCGGACAAGTATTTCATGTTGCGATTATTCACATTTGGCAAGAAATACACAGAACAAGTCGTCAACGAAGGCAAACAAAGTGATAGATACAGATTAAATAAACTTATCTTGTTTAACAATCAATGAAGTTGTTATAAATATATGTTTAATACGTTAAGATAAAGAATTACTTATCTTTCTCAAGTTTCATCTGCATATAAACGTTCCAGTCATTCAAATATGCACTTGTTGTCTCCAATCGGTTACTTTCTTCCTTGCAATTTTAGTCGGTAGGGTTCAAGATATGTTTTAAATACACTTTTAATACAAAAATATAGCTTAAAACCCTAAATAAACGACAATTTTCGATCCATTCGTCCGAGAAAAAACATTCAGTCACTTCGCCGTAATAATAATAATAATAATAATAATAATAATAAGGTCTCTATTGGTCTCGCGAACAAACATATGGGGTTACTTCATCACCCCAGGTTTTCGATTTTCGCCGGCCGAACCGCCGGCTAAATTCCCATTGGCTAGCTGAGGCGATCGGTAATTAATTAACCTAGCCCGCGTGCAAGCCCCAGGGAACAGTGATTCGTCACAAAGCATAGACAAAGGCTCTCAAAAAGCTTAAAATTTGAAAATTGATCACTTTTTTCGATTACAAATGGAACAAGAACAGACTGTTTATTGTTTTATTTGTTTACTTGAAGGAAGACATGTTTTTGCCGTTATGCCAATGGGGATTGCTTGTCGTGAGGTGTTGGAATAGCAAATTACGACTGGGGTAAACTATAGTAACCTTTACTTGAGTTTCATTAATTTCAAACAGACTTCAGTTGATACGTTATGTGTTCTCACTTCCTCAAGAAAATTATCTTTTGGTTGATGTTGAGATGCAGTTGCATGTAAGGACTGTAAGCCTATTCGAAACACTTTGCGATTTACAAGGCTTCGCTGAGAGAGCGAAACAGAAGGCGGTATTAAATTGCCGTTTGAAACGAAACGATCTGGACTCGGAACGCTCTCTTCTTTTGTAGAGTTCTTTACCAAATGAAATACATTTCGTACTTTCCGCCGCCAACAAGAATTGCACACACAATCTGATAAGTGAGACAATTTATTTATAACAATGCCAATAGCGACAGCGAAGCACACATAATATAAATCCTAATGTGGTCGCACAACTTCTCTCATGATTTGAAGTTTGAGACTGGTTTTCTGTTGAAATTCGTCCTAATTTGCCTGTTCGGATTTTAGTTGAAAATGAGCACTTGCAAATTTGGCAATTACTGCCTGCGTTGCTTGCTTTTTTGGAGTTAAAACGCAGCCATTTACACATTGTTTATTAGTGTTCTGAATAAGCAGAGAAAATCCCGCAACATTTTAATGCGAGTTTGTTTGTTAATATTGGGGTGCTGTCATTGGTTCTTTTTTGACAATTGACGCGCGAATGGGGCGTGTTATGAAAAGGGGCGTTTTGCAAAATACCGGGCGATGGTTGCAGGCCCACTATCAGTTCCCTTGGGCCTGCACGCAGGCTAAGAGCTTTTCTGCAAGCAGTTTTTTGGGTTTTTGCCATGAAATTCATATATGTTGTTCTTAAAAGGATTCTCCTCAACTTCCTCGTGGCGATTTTTGATTAATTGCGTGATTGCGAAGATATGGGTCTTCAAACTTTGCCTTGCGCAAGCTTAAATACCACCCCTCGAATTTGTAGGTTCCGAACGGATTAGCGTTTTTAAAAGCCTTTCAAATCGAGGTTTGAGAGGTTTTATTTTTTAAAAGATACTTTTATCTTCATATTTTCACATTAACTTATTAATATCCTGTGTAACAAGTAAACAGGACACTTCCGGGCCGGGACAAGTTGACATGTCGATTTCTTGCTAAACAGCGTGGCGATCAATATAGCGAATACCTAAATACAGGGAATTTTTAAAATTTGTTGGTATAAATGGGATAAAGAAACTCATCAAATATTTGGACTATGGACCTTCAAACTTATGCCAAGTATTTATTTGATTGATTAGCTCAATAAGTGTTTTTTGGCCAGTTTTTCGTCGATTTCGACATTTAGTCGAGCTTAGTCGACTTCAGAATAATGTGTCAACATTGCGTGTTGCAGCCTGTGGACATGAATATTTTCGTTTGTTTGACCATAACACTTTTCTTCATTGTTTTTAATCCTTGAATGACAATATATTCATTGGTCTCAGAGTCGTAAAGTTAAGGAAGATGGATGACTTTGGGACAGATATCAAAATTTTGTTCAGATATCAAAATTTATGGACATATAGTCACAGTGACTAAGTCACTTATAGAATAGTCATAGGACCCTCATTGTTTTTAATCTGGCCCACTAGTCACAAATGGGGCCTGTTCTTATGACCTAGCTAGGCAGGAGACAACATTTGCCACTATTGCCGATATACTATCCTGCTACTATCCTGGCTATAAGCACAATGTATCTGTTGCCAGAATCCCAACTATGCAAGCCAAGAAATTCACCATTTACAGTAAACATTCTATCCCACAACCAGGCAACATGAACTTGCCTTTAGGGTCCCATGCTGCCTAGCCCAGATCATATCAACAGACCCTTAGCAGATCCTGAAACTACAATTGGAACATTTTAGGCCATAATCTTGTAGAATCAACCAGGCATTGTTAGTAGTATAATATCACTCTTGCCCATATATATGGGCTAAATATACACCTGCCCATGGTAAGATACTGCCTCGTATATTAATTTTATATATGTTTGAGATTGCATTCACATGAAACAGCCTGGTTGAATTTATTGGCCCAGCATCTGCTTGAGCAAGTTGATATCCTGCATTGGGAGTCTCACACTAATAAAGTTCATAAGCTGGCCAACCAGCTCACTCGACTAAAAATCATGTTATAATACACAATTTGGCCCAAGTAAGTAAGAACTTGATTAATATAAGCCTTCTGAAGCTGTTGTCATTAACAAATTAACCAGCATTTCACACAAATTTCTTGACAACAGTTGCCAGGTTAGCCTGGCTCCTGTGAGGCAAATGACAAACTAGCCCTGAAAAGAAAATCCAGCCATGTTTGCTGGGCTAGCATGGCCCATTTTGACAGCCCTTAACAGGCAGAGCTTATTTTTGGAAGGGAGATCTGATTTTTGGAAGGGAGACCTATTTGTGAGGTTACTGGGGGCTTAATATTAGATTGCATTATATAATATGTGTAAAATATTCATTTGTGCACAGGTATTGTGGTAATGCACAAATTTATGGACTAAATATACAGGTATGTCCATAAATTTTGATACCTGAACAGCAACATTGAACAAAATCATTCTGTCCCAATGTCATCCATCTTCCTTAAGTTTAGGACTCTGAGACCAATGAATATATTGTCAATCAAGGATTAAAACCAATGAAGACAAGTGTTATTGTCAAACAAACGAAAATATTCATGTCCACAGGCTGCAACATGCAATGTTGACACATTATCCTGAAATCAACAAAATGTGGAAATCGACGAAAAACGACCCAAGAAACAGTTATTGAGCTAATCAGTCAAATAAATACTTGGCAAAAGTTCGAAGGTCCATAGTCCAAATATTTGATGAGTTTCTTTAGCCCATTTATACCAACAAAATTTTAAAAATTCCCTGTATTTAGATATTTACCATATTGATCGCCACGCTGTTTGGCAAGAAATCGACATGTCAACTTGTCCCGGCCCGGAAGTGTCCTGTTTACTTGTTACACAGGATATTAATAAGTTAATGTGAAAATATGAAGATAAAAGTATCTTTTAAAAAATAAAACCTCTCAAACCTCGACTGTGGGACAACTATATAATAGTTTTGTTTGTGGAAACACCACATAAATTTATTACTGCAAACCTTTCGATCCATAAGCCCGGATCTTCATCAGTGCTAATATGTGACTTGTTTAATTCACACACCCTTTTTATATACAAAAAATGTCTTGATCTGTTGGCTCGCATATTATTAGCACTGATGAAGATCTGGGCTTACAGATCGAAAGCTTGGCAGTAATAAATTTACGTGGTGTTTCCACAAACAAAACTATTATATGTTTTATCGCCATGCAAACATACAAAGAACTTATTGTGGGACAACTTTTTTACTGAAGTTATACATCTGTCTTAACTTAATCTGTGGCTCAGCTGGCTAGACCTTGATTCTTGCCTGTGGTCCCCCTTTGCATTTGACCCAAATGTTTTGGTCATTTTATATTTGCCAATATAAATCTTTTTGGCATAGAAATTATACATTTGGAATAATAATTTTGTATGCTGCATTCAATCTATTCTCCATTCAGGGAGATTCTTTTGTAAATACCCACACCAATCAGAAGTCTGTATTTTTATGCTAAAACAGAAATTGGCATCCCAGAGAGTAAATTATATTCAAGTTTAGGGCATGTTGCAGCTCTATATCTTGCCGTTGCAAGTTGCTTTGCGTTTGATGTTTGTTCTGGGATAAAATATTGAATTATACCTTAAATTAATGTTTTGTGAAATTTAGTTTAAATAATTTAATAGAGAGATGAGTGCATAAAGCATAGGGATTTTGAAGCTAAATATGTTATAAAATTTGTCATTTTAGTGAATGCATTCGTTTCTGCTCGTCCTGGTTGTTGCAAGGAGACATCAGGCATTGTAATGGATGGATGACAATGTGTCGCTGGCAAACCTACACCGTGTGCATTTTCTTGGTGGATATCTTGGGCAAATGTGCAATATGACGAGGGATATCTTGGGCAAATATCTTATATAAATTGGTACGATTGCTTACCTTAAATTACTAAAGAAGGATGATGTTGTAAGGTTAGTGGATATTTATAATAGTGATAAAATGGGGGTTCCCTATGAATAGGAACAAAGTAAGGCTGCCTAATTAAGTGGAAACAATATTGCGCAGTGTAACAATCTAAAAATATGGCGGACTGAAATCTGTAAAAATGATGCATGTTTAATTTAAAACATGCAAAAATTGCGGCATAAATATATCACGAAACATGCTTCTTACAACTACATGCTATGTTTATAGGAATTTGAATAAGTTTTTAGTAGGCATGATTTAGGATTTTTGTTTTATTTTCATTTATGATTTTCTATAAATGCCCCAACTAGTTTATATCTAATACGTAATGTATAATATATAGATTGTAAATTTTTTGATCTAGAAAATAATAGAGTTCTTATACAACTACATGCTGTGTTGGGTTGTTAGGGTTGAATAAGTTTTTAGTAGGCATGATTTAGGATTGTTTTTATTTATGATTTTCTATAGACTGTCCCCCCCCCCCCTCGTGGTGGAAGGATAACAGCCTGTGGCCATTTGTCACTAATGCTGCACAGTGACGTAGTCGTATAAATAGATATTTAACAGTCTGTGGCCATTTGTCACTAATGCTGCACAGTGATGTAGTCGTATAAATAGATATAATATTGTGCACTTCAGTGGCTTTCTAATTTTATTATCCAATCAGGTGTGTTACTTTAAATAGAACTTATTGTATGTAAACAAGGTCAATAGACAACGTTTGGGACAACATTGCTTTCTTTAACATATAGCATAATTTGTCTTCGTCATTCTGTGCACAATGAAGTACTGGGTCATTCCAGAAAACATCCATACCCCCCCCCACGGAGGAAATAGGAAGTTAACCCCCTACCCCCTTTGGATGCCCTAATACATTAAGCAATTATTGGATGAGGCTGAGCATGATATCAAGAATTATTCAGACCGAGGTCAATGTTATCTGCCGAAGCGAAGCTGAGGCGGATAACATAGACCGAGGTCTGAATAATTCTTGATATCATGCGAAAACCGAATCCAATAATTGTTTTATACATTGAAAGACATGAGAAACGTATAAAACGATTCCTGTTCATGAGGTAGGAAAAGTACAATTTGAATATCAAACACATTGCACAAAGTCAAAAGTCAGTTAAATATTCTATTTCTACTTCTATTTACCCCTTTGTGGCTTTTTTCGTGCTTTCACTATCCTTATCTGCCAATAATTTAGAGATTTCCTCTGTGGGGGGGAGTATGGATCTATTCTGGAACGACCCATTCAAGGCAAAGAAAATATGCAAGCATTAAATATTTCCTGCATTATTTCTCAATCCTTGCTCAATGACAAAAACATACTTAAATTAAATTTGTAATATAGGAAAAATAGATTTTCTGTAATATATATTTATCTGAAACAACCTCATGCTATGTTGATAGGAATTTGAAGTTTTTAGTAGGCATGATTTAGGATTTTTGTTTCTATTCATGATTTTCTATAAATGGGTGCCCACCTAATTTTTGAGATATGATATGAATTTATGATATCTTTATCACATAAAAGAGTGGCAGTGTCATCAGAATAGTATAAAAACCAATTACTGTGGGCTCAATTTTACAAATACTGTATAAATATACAATAACATAACTTAATTTATGAGAATAAATACAACTATCAGGAACAACAAGAGAGTGGAGTAGCAAGACTACAAGCAGTGTTACATTTCAAACAGATTCTTAGTTTATATTGATAGCAGTAATGTACCATCTGTATAACATACAGTTGTAAAATTTGTAACGTCTCTCTGGAGCAGGGGGTGAGCGGAGGTGAGACACTGGGAACGAGGATGGGCTCATATTCGTTCTTAAGAGTTTTTTGTAGGGCATATAGACGGGGGGACTCATATATGGGGGGGGGGGTATTCAAATGTTACATATCAAAATCTAAGTTAGTCCTTTATGAATGCAATAAAACATTCAAGTATAGTAGCTTTTGTAGTTTTTGTTACATTTAATCAAACAGCACAAGTTGTTTTTTTTTTTTTGGGGGGGGGGCACAGTCTTTCTTTAGGTTGTAAAGCGATGATTGGGCTAAGAAAATTTCAATACGTCATTGCTGTTGAAATGACTTAATTCATCACTAATAATATGAAAGCTTATGTTGCTCATAATATCCCATCCAGCGTCTATTTTTGAGAAAATTGTTGCACAAACCATGTTCCAATGTTTGCGATGTGACCATTGCATATGGCTGTCAAAAACGTCCAGATTAGTTAGATTATTGTTTTCTAAAACATTGCGCGGCTCGTGATTTTAGAACTCTTTTTATGCTTTAACCCATTGAGTGGCTCCACTTGACAAGTAAAATCCTGTGGCGTTAGACAGTAAAATACTAAAGTAGGGTGCATCTGGGTGCAATGCAACTTAAAGGGTTAAATTAACCAAAAAAAGTTGAGAGAAATACTCATTACAGTGACACGATTCCGGTATAGACAGGCTTTGTCGATGTCAAATGTCCAAGTATATACGAAACCAGTAGTTTACAGGTTGTTTACAAACGCTAGGTTATATTAGTTTTTATCTGTACTTCCGCTTAAAAAGGTACATCAGCGACGTGCATATAAACCCAAATGCCTAGTCTTTTTAAGATGAATTCTAATGAATAAATTGCTCTTGCAAAGCACAAAGCTTGCGAAGTACAAAACAATGTCCACTTTGTAATAGTTTGTATACTAGCGCACGGCTATTTGCTGTTCGCGCTGTGTCAAAGGTAATACGATATAATTATACTTTTCATGAAACTTCCTGTTGGACGTGCGGTGGACGGACGGGACGGTCAGCTTACATTAGCCATTCCAAAGTTGATGGGAGGACTGGGGACGAGTGTTAAAAAGTGCCCAAATTAAGAAATGAACCAAGTAACTAACTAAAAAGACCACCTTAAAATTAGTAAGTGTACAAAGTTTGAAGAAGTTTACATGAATGCCCTTCGAATAATAAGCTTTCGAAAATTTTGAAATTGCTGATTAAAAGATTATTTTTGGAACGCGCGTCCCAAAAACGAAATTACAATACATTTCATAGTAAATATCGCGATTTTTGAAAGCTTGTTACTCGAAGGCTATTCATGTAAACGTCTTCAAACTTTGTATACTTACTAATTTTGAGGTGGTCTTTTTAGTGATTTGGTTCATTTCTTAATTGGGGCACTTTTTAACACTCGTCCCCAGTCCACTCATCAACTTCGAAATGGCTGGTTGTCTAGAAACCCAATTTTCGAGTCAGTAAAACGCGGAGACGGTATTGAAAACTCTGTTTTATCTTTTAACTTAAAACGGACGGTTTTCGATCTCGTCAGCCAGTCAGCCAGACTGTGTCAACCAGTTAGTTTCAGATCAGTGATCCGGAATAACTAATATTCATTTCTTAATTTGGGCACTTTTTAACACTCGTCCCCAGTCCTCCCATCAACTTTGGAATGGCTAATGTAAGCTGACCGTCCCGTCCGTCCACCGCACGTCCAACAGGAAGTTTCATGAAAAGTATAATTATATCGTATTACCTTTGACACAGCGCGAACAGCAAATAGCCGTGCGCTAGTATACAAACTATTACAAAGTGGACATTGTTTTGTACTTCGCAAGCTTTGTGCTTTGCAAGAGCAATTTATTCATTAGAATTCATCTTAAAAAGACTAGGCATTTGGGGTTTATATGCACGTCGCTGATGTACCTTTTTAAGCGGAAGTACAGATAAAAACTAATATAACTTAGCGTTTGTAAACAACCTGTAAACTACTGGTTTCGTATATACTTGGACATTTGACATCGACAAAGCCTGTCTATACCGGAATCGTGTCACTGTAATGAGTATTTCTCTCAACTTTAGTATTGTTTACAATTATAATCAGATTGAGAAAGAATGCGCCTCGATTACATCCGACGAAACAGTTGGACTTTTGTTAAAATACGACATTGGCAAGTACGTTAGTAAACCTTATGTATTAATATTTCTTCGTACGAGTTGTTTTATCGCGTTCAAATACTCACTCGATTACGCGATATTTGCGCAAATGAAATTGGACCCGAGTTTAAGCAGATGTCTAACGTATTTAATTAGAATTTTCATTGTTACAAAGGTTCGAAAAACCCCGCATTTCCACAATTTAATATTTTATTTTTTCGACAATTTATTACGATTAATAATAGTCTTAATTACATTTCCTAAATGATCCCCCCCCCCCGTCCATCCGCTTGTCCCCCCCGTCCGTCCGCCATCCGTCCGTCCGCCATCCGTCCGTCCGTCCGTATCCGCGTTTTATCCTTACCCATAACCCGGGGGGGATAAAACCCTAGTAGGGAACCACCTCCAGACCAATTTACACTCACCTGCGACAAAATAGGGAGGTTGTGTGCTTGATTTGCAGAGTGCAACTCAAGTTGTAAGCATCTTGCATGGGACCATCTGATGCACAAGACTCTTGATGAGTAAAATGATCTGATATCAGACATTTGAGTTCCTTTGCAGCTTAAGGAGTTAATCCTATTTATCTTAGAGAACAGCAATTCAACTATCTGGCTAGCTTGACAAATAACTATACACCAACAATGTGTGCAAAGGCAATTAAGTGTATCCTTGGAAAATTTTATCTGAGATTATGCAGAGTTGTTTACAACTTTTTTGTTCAAGCCTAGTGACTTATTTCAGTGCATGAAAATCATCCCACCTTTCATCCTGTCCTGACAAACTGGGATCATGTAAACAGCACATTTAGCCATTAAGTTGATTTGCACTCTAATTTTCCTACTTATATTATTTAACTCTGTCTAGGGGGTGCACTGGCAGTTAATTAATGGGTAACTAGACACATGGGCAGTCTCATTATGAAGCATAAAATCGTCTAGCGTTGGACAGTAAAATACTCAAGTAGAGCATGCATCAGGGCACAGTACAACCTAATGGTTAAATTTGTTTTTTGTAGCAAAATGGTTTAAGTTTTATATCTGAATTTTTAAAATTTTTTTTTGCTTTGTTTTACAGATCATTACTTGAACGTGCTGATGAAATATTGATTTATAAAATATCATGTTACCAAGATGACATGCCTCGAAGAGCAATACATGAGGGAATACCTCTATTTCTAATCAAATTACAACAAAACACCAAAGATAGTAGTTCTCGGATGAAATGAAAGGATTGATAAATGTTCATGGCCAGCAGTGGATATTTGTGACTATAATAAATGGATACAAAGAAACTATGATGGATAAATATGGCCCCGTAATGGATATTCAGTTGATGGACATACAAAGGTCACAGAAATGTCTATTTTCAGGTACTGTTCTTTCTTGTTTGCCTGCGAACAGGCTGTAGATACTTGTATCCAGGCCATTGTTTGTTTTTTTTGTTCTGGGTACAATGAAATCCGGCATAAATCCTGGTGGTCTAAATGTTCAGTATATTTACAAATTCGATCTATTTTCTGTTCAGTAGACTTTGATAGCTTGAAAGAAAGTTTATAACGATGATTTTCTGTGCAAAAACTGTACTTTCGAAATTCGTCAGCTTCTGAATTTGATAACCGATCTGAAAAAAAAAGGAACATTTGAGTGTATGGTTATTGCATGGTTCTATATATATTCTATATATACTGCCTTTGTGCACACGCATATAACAAGTGCAGCAACGCAACAGTTTAGACAAGGGTCATGAGGCAGGATGTGTACAAGAAAAGCTTTGCCAGAGTTTTGTCTTTCGAAATAGAACGACGATTGGAAATTGCTGTTTGATTCTTTGTAATATCTTGTCGCTTGTTAGTGAAAAAGAAATTTGTCACTTTCCTCATCTAAGGCCCTGTTTACATGAGACCGGAACGAAGTCAAACCGGGACCATTTCGTTTCGGTCACAGTATTATTTATACTAGATGTTTACATGAGACCGGGACGAAAATAACTCAGACCGGTCTCAAGTCATTCCGCCTGCTGAACCGAACCGACTGACTTCAGACCGGCATGAATTCAGACGGGGTGAATGTAAACAGAAATACATTTCAGACCGGTCTCGGCTGTAACCTTGACATTGGAACAACACATGCTAACAAAAGCCATCTGAAAAAGAAAATTGCCCTGGCAAGGGGAATAAGTTGAAAATTTTGTGGTTTTCGTACCGGTCTCATGTAAAGATATTGACAATTTTGATTCCGGTTTGACTTCGTCCCGGTCTCATGTAAACGGGGCCTTAGCCTAAACCTTTTTTTTTTTCAAAAAACTGGCATCGTTTGTCTTGGGGTTAGGGGGTACAAATGGTACCCATAGCTTAGAGGGTGCAAATGGTACCCGTAAGAAGACTTGGTGGAAATCATGTTGGTCGTTTGGATCGGCGAGAATAAGACAATTATGGTGGCAAAGTTTTTTTAAACATTTTCTCTCCCGTAGTAAGGTAAAGCATGTATTTTCCTGGTAGCCGGTCTTACTTCATGAAAAAATAGTCCGCTACCAGTGACTAGGTCCCCTCTCTTATGGCGGTTATTCCGGCTCAATATCTTCGGGGATATTCCTTTTCAGGGCGGTTGCATGCGGATAATATGGTCCGTCGCGTGCGCAAAATAGTTAGGGAGTTAGACAGTTTAGAAGCGTCCAAACTGCGCAATATACGACACTCACATGAAACGTAAAATACTTTATAATAATTCACAAAATTGCGAAAACAAAAAATTGACAATTTTGCAATTTGAATTGTGCGTTTCTGGCAAATGCCTTTAGATTCAAGTTGTAACGACAATTTACAAGCGCATTAAGTGTAAATACGGCATTATTTATAATGAAATACCACCAGGGTTAGAGTGTTTTTATGTGGTTTGTTAAGGAGCAAACTCGCTTTTTAAAAAAAGAAATGTGTATTAATTTCGATCCAGATTTGTTCCTGAACATGGTCGCCATGAAAACACTCTGTAGAGCAAGCTCAGCGACGTACGGTCATAATAGCGTCGTCGGAAGTTTGCATTCAGCATTTTCGTTCAAAATTGAACGTACATTATGCTATGCTAGGGTTGCGTACAATCGGTACCCACACGATGTGTAGCAATTCTAAAGGAATAACTAATACGTATAAATAGGGTGTGCGCACGAAGTTTTTTTCGCAGGCCTTTAATAACTTCGGGGAAAATAATAAAAAAAGCAGTGTCCGTGGTCGGGGCTGAATAGTACTGTGGAAGATTGGGTTGGAAAATTTGCAATTAAGATCTGTATTTTTGGGCAATTGTTACTTTTTGAAAAATAGTATCCTACTAATGTAAAATAACATCGGAAGGGTTTGGCAACAATGATGTCCAAAGAGTATGTTAGCCCTAAAGTTTATTTCATAAAATGATTTATCTTTGTATATACTCAATTACAAGACAATTTAAAGTTCGAGTAAAAGTTTAATAACAATTGATATAAATTGAAACTCATTCTGGCTCAAATTTTATTTCATAAAATGATTTTTCTCAGAATACTCGATTACATGACAATTCAAAAAGAATATTTAAAGTCAAAATATTAATCATAATTCAAATTCAAAATGACCTTTGGGTCACATTTTATGCCTACTCATATGGTTGTGTCCACCGAAGCCCGAGGTATTATATTAGATACGAAATACAACGTTTTTAAAAAAACAACCTTATCAAAAATCAGTTAAATATACTCGCCTTTTAAGCAAAAGCGAAAAGATTATTTTTGCCACAATTTTACGGTAAACCCAAACGTGGTGACGGAATTTCCCAGCATTTATATGTGCTGAAATTGAACTAAATCGAGAAATTTAACCAAAGTATAATTTTGCCACTCACCGGGTTTGAGTATCTTTTGTGACAATATGGATACTACCATGAAGATTAGATGTTTGATTAGTACTAAGTAAGTGTTTTCGTCAAAAACACTACTGAAATCATGGCTTTGACAGGGTTGACTAAGTTAGCCTAAAAACCCAATAATTTCCCATTCCAAAGAGTAGAAGGCCTGCCGTATCTATCATATTGAATGCATATATATGATAGATACGGCAGGCCTTCTACTCTTTGTTCTACTCTTTCTTCTACTCGATAAATTGGAACAGAATTGGCTGAAATTGAGTATACTTAAAAGACACTTTAATGAAATAAAATTTGGGGTTAATGCATATGTCGTTTTTCGTCTTGCGTAACGTCAGTTGTGTGTAACTTTTATGAAAAAAATCAAAGTCTTGAGATTTTGTTTTTCAACAAGTAATAATGGTCTAGAAATACAGATTTATATTGCACATGTTAGTTTCTTCAGTAAGGTCTGTAAACATTGGCACAACTGCTTGTTCCCCATGCATAAATTTTTAACTAGTTTTTGGGATTGGATTTATTCAAATTTGAGGTGATTTTGAACACATATTGGTATGTTACTCATTATGATATGAGTAAAATATTGTTCGTTTATACATTGTTCTAGTTTCTATAGCTTTTTATTTGTCTTATCAGTTGAAATATATGTTGTGATTGTTTACGAAATATATTGAATTATTTGTGAATGGTTCGTTCATTTTATGCATGACGAATCCCGAAATTTATAGTTTGATGGTCACAACAAATTTGAGCATAAAAATGTTAAAATTGTACACCCAAAACACTAGGTATTATATTCGAAATCACTGGAACACGACTAGTTTTAAATATGCTTGAACTGAATTTCATACATGGAGTATTTCAAAAGTTCTGATCGCTTATCTGTTTAAAAACTTTTGAAATCATGCATGTATGAAATTCAGTTCAAGCATATTTAAAACTAGTCGTGTTCCAGTGATTTCGAATATAATACCTAGTGTTTTGGGTGTACAATTTTAACATTTTTTATACTCAAATTTGTTGTGACCATCAAACTATAAATTTCGGATTCGTCATGCATAAAATGAACGAACAATTCACAAATA